ATGTGGAATACTGACACCTAACTTAACCCCTACAGATCAGATCAGGATGCTAGGTTGACCATGTGGAATACTGACACCTAACTTAACCCCTACAGATCAGATCAGGATGCTAGGTTGACCACGTGGAATACTGACACCTAACTTAACCCCTACAGATCAGATCAGAATGCTAGGTTGACCATGTGGAACACTGACACCTAATTTAACCCCTACAGTTCAGGATGCTAGGTTGACCATGTGGAATACTGACACCTAACTTAACCCCTACAGATCAGATCAGGATGCTAGGTTGACCATGTGGAATACTGACACCTAACTTAACCCCTACAGTTCAGGATGCTAGGTTGACCATGTGGAATACTGACACCTAACTTAACCCTTTGACTGCAGCTGATTTAAATGAGTGCAGAATTTTTGTGAGCAGTACACTGTATACAGTACACTGTATACAGCACAGTCGTATTCAACTGGCGGAGCCAGACCGTACCCTATATACAGTACACTGTATACAGCACAGTCACTCATTCTGGCCATAGTTCACCACTGGCTATGGCCAGAATTAACCTGTTGTATACAGTGTACTGTATATAGGGTACGGTCTGGCTCCACCAGTTGAATACGACTGTGCTGTATACAGTGTACTGTATATAGGGTACGGTCTGGCTCCGCCAGTTGAATACCAGAACAGCATGATGGGAATGAAAATGTAACCATAATACCACCACTCAATCACAAACCAGTCACATGCACAAACATGTGTACAGTTGTAACATACTATTAAACAAGATATAAAAATGACCAAGAAACAATGATATTGCACATGGCTTAAGCATCCTTTCTGAAATGTATTTGAAACTTGTAACCTGATTTGTGTTTCAGGGACATTACGAGAGGAGACTTCCAAAGAAAAGTTTAGTAATTCAAATAAATTTAATAAAATCTGTGCAAAATTATTAAACCCATACTTTGTTATAAACCTACAAAACCAAGTTTTTTTCTTTCCTGTGATGATACGACAAAATGAAGATAAAGAGTTTTTCCCAGTCGCCAACTCTCGGTATGATCTCTCTAATATTTTCCTTTGTCGTAGAGTTTTCTTATATAAGCATTCTACTTTTACTTTTACATAAATTCTAAAAAAATAGCTAGCGAATGTACCAACAGATCTGCATATCAGCTTTCATGTAATGGTAAAACAGAATACATTTCTACCTCCAAAAACATTTCTTAAAATACTTTTTTCCTTATTTCTTTTTCTCGGGTTTTTTGGTTTCTTTTTTTTCTTTCTTAGGCTGCTCTGGAGTGCTAGCTTCTTCTTCTTTAGGTTCATGAGGAGCAGGAAGTTTCTCCCATGATGGTTCCACTCCCCAAATCTCCCTAGCATATTCACAGATGGTACGATCACTGGAAAACTTGCCAGATGTTGCAATGTTCATGATGGCCATCTTTATCCATTCTTCTGTATTCTGTGTAAGAAAAAAAGAGACGGTTATCAGTTCACATTTTTTCTGACTGTTAAAAAAGTAAAAGATAAATTCCTTTTGGCTAAAAAATAATTTTTACACTGCAGTACATTTAAACATTTGAAAGCCTGAAAAAAAAAGTGCTTTGCAAAGTCATTTAACAAAGTTTAAAATTCTGTGGGATAATCGACATGGTTTCATTAAGGGAAAATCTTGTATTAATAATCTTTTAACATTCTTTGAAGAGGATACTGCTTATGTAGATGAGGGTACAGATACTTGGTGTATCTGGATTTTTAGAAATCATTTGACAAGGCACCACATAAAAGGTTTGTTTAAAATGTTATCTCTGTAGGTGTGGGGGAAAGGTTGGCTCATTGGATAGAACACTGGCTAGATAGAAGAAAGCAGAGGGTTGTCATAAATGGAATTCACTCAAACTGGATTAATGTCACAAGTGTGGTATCTTAGGACTATTTTTGATATACATCAATTACGTAGATGAGGGAATGGTCAAGAAATTAGTTAAATTTGCTGACAACATTAATATTTTGGGTGTTGCTGGCTGTGAGGAAGTTGCTAATGCTTTGCAAAAGGATTTGGATTATTTAGCGAGTTGGTCAAATAAATGACAGACAGCTTTTAATTATAATAAATGAAAGGTAATGCAAGTGGGATATTACAATTTGAAATATTAGCATAATTTTGATGGGAATAACTTTAAGTGTTATGGAAGAAAAAAATCTTGGTGTTCTGGTTGATCAGTCTTTTCAGCCACCCAAGCAATGTGATGTTGCTGGTGGTAGTACAAACAGGATTTTAGACTGTATGTACAGAAATGTTGAATACAAGTTTAAAAGAGGTTATAATGTCATTGTATAGGTTATTGGTTAGGCCACATTTGGGATATTGTGTACAGTCTTGGGCTCCTTAGTTTAGAAACACTGAATTGTTGGAAAGGGTTCAGAAGAGGGTTACTAGAATGGTGCCTGGGATGGAAAGGTTGTCATACGATGATAGATTAAGATCCCTGAAGTTGTTTTCTCTTGAAAAAAAAAGATGATTTAGAGGGGATGTGATTGAGGTGTTTAAGATTGTAAAGGGAATTGATAGTGTTGATGCATCATCTTTTTTCATACTTAATGGCAAGAATGGTAGGACTGGGGGATATAAATATAAATTCTGGCAGGGTAAGAGTCATCTTCAGCTAAGACAGCTTTAATTTTCTAACAGGGTGGTTGGCCTTTAGAATGGGTGTCCTTCAGATGTGGTGAAGGCGGTAAATTTAAGTGAGTTTAAGGAAAAGCTTGATAAATATTTGAGTAGTAAGGGCTGGCTTCAAATGTTTTATTTATCGATCAACAGGTCCTTTGCTGTTCATAAATTAACTGTATGTATGTATGTTTACATAAAAATGTAATTGAAGACATTATTTATAAACATGTTTTACCACTTCACTTACATGATGTTTCGATCTCAATAAGCAGCAAACCATGAATTCTCAGATATATATAATCCAAGTACACTAATCACAATGACACACCCAACCCCATTTATTTATAAATCATAGAAACAAACTAATTCCTTTCTGGTAAAATGATTACATGGTGAATAGCATTTGAAAACACAAAGGAAACTATTAACTGTCCTACAAACGTTCTTTTAAAATTGTTTCACAAAGGGCTTACCGTATACATATCACTAACACGCTCCTGGCATCTAATGTAGTCCTCGTAATCAGCCAGCAGGAAGAATCTAATAATAAAGAATCACCAATTTAAAAAAGGTTGCTATACTTTAGACATAAGTAGTATAACACTTAACAATTGCAAAACTTGCAATAAAACAACTTTTCAAAATATTTAATTATCATACAAAATTCTGGAGCTTTGATTAATAAAAGACATTACAAAATATTTAAATATAATACAAAATTCTGGAGCTTTGATTAATAAAAGACATTACAAAATATTTAAATATCATACAAAATTCTGGAGCTTTGATTAATAAAAGACATTACAAAATATTTAAATATCATACAAAATTCTGAAGATTTGATTAATAAAACAACCTTTCAAAATATTTAAATATCATACAAAATTCTGGAGATTTGCTTAATAAAAGACATTACAAAATATATAAATATGATACAAAATTCTGAAGATTTGATTAATAAAACAACCTTTCAAAATATTTAAATATCATACAAAATTCTGGAGATTTGGTTAATAAAAACCTTTAAAATCTTTCAAACATCTCACAAAAAAAAGTCTAAAGATTAGGTTAATTAGAAAAAACTTTCCTTCACTAGAAATTTTTCTACCTGTCATGGTTCAGAAGAATATTTGCTATATCTTTGAACTGATCAGGGTTTTGGGGATTAAAGAAACCACTACTGATCTGATCAATACACTGTTTTAATTCAGGAATCTTGTTGTAGTAGTCCCAAGCATTGTACCTATGGTGAGGATAAAAAAAAGAAAACCATTATACCAGTACAACTATACAGCACAGACTACAATTACTCTAGGTTTTGATTCAGTACAACTATACAGCACAGACTACAATTACTCTAGGTTTTGATTCAGTACAACTATATAGCACAGACTACGATTACTCTAGGTTTTGATTCAGTACAACTATATAGCACAGACTACGATTACTCTAGGTTTTGATTCAGTACAACTATACAGCACAGACTACGATTACTCTAGGTTTTGATTCAGTACAACTATATAGCACAGACTACGATTACACTAGGTTTTGATTCAGTACAACTATACAGCACAGATTACAATTACTATAGGTTTTGATTCAGTACAAATATACAGCACAGACTACAATTACTATAGGTTTTGATTCAGTACAACTATACAGCACAGATTACAATTACTATAGGTTTTGATTCAGTACAACTATACAGCACAGATTACAATTACTCTAGGTTTTGATTCAGTACAATTATATAGCACAGACTACAATTACTCTAAGTTTCAATTCAGTACAATTATACATCACAGACTCTGATTACTCTTGGTTTAGATTCAGTACAATTATACAGCACAGACTACAATTACTCTAGGTTTTAATTCAGTACAACTATACAGCACAGATTACAATTACTCTTGGTTTAGATTCAGTACAATTATACAGCACAGACTACAATTACTCTAGGTTTTGATTCAGTACAACTATACAGCACAGATTACAATTACTCTTGGTTTAGATTCAGTACAATTATACAGCACAGACTACAATTACTCTAGGTTTTAATTCAGTACAATTATACAGAACAGACTATGATTACCCTTGGTTTCAACCCAGTATCACTATATAGCACAGACTACAATTACTCTAGGCTTTGATTCAATACAATTATACAGCACAGACTACGATTACTCTAGGTTTTAATTCAGTTCAGTTAAACAGCATGGTTATTCCCCTTGATTTTGATTCACTATCACTATATAGCACAGACTACAATTACTCTAAGTTTTAATTCAGTACAATTATACAGAACAGACTCTGATTACTCTTGGTTTTGATTCAGTATCACTATACAGCACAGACTACAATTACTCTAAGTTTTAATTCAGTACAATTATACAGCACAGACTACAATTACTCTAGGTTTTGGACAAATGACGATTGGAAATTTAATTAGAAATTATTTTTTAAAATCATGGAATTAAAACTTGAATAATATCAAAATTTGATTCATTAACTACATTTTGATGCTAAGGCATATCAAGAGGGTTAACCCTTCCCTTGAGAACATAACGTGTGCATTCTAGAAAAAATAAACTCATACTAACCAACCTACATCCTTCAGAAATGAAAAAATGGAAGCCTAGTTCTTGTGATTTTGTAGTTGTTGCAGGTTATGGTGGCACAAATAGTTCCATTTTCTGATTTCCATCAACTTATCACTGGGGAAAAACTTTTGTTGCTCTCGTCCATTGTTTACAGTGGTTTGTTTATTACCATTTACCCCACATTACACAGCAGTGTCAGAATCACATTGACAAGTTTTGATGTCTTACTGAATGTTTTTGATGGTCTTCTTCTTTGTTTCCAGTACCATTACTCAATGTTAATGTTAAATTAACTCAAGAGTTGTGATTTCAAGTCACAACAAACACGTGTAAAATCTTATAATATGAAGATTTTGTTGTTTTTCTTAACCTTAATAACAACAACAAAAAATTATGTTCACACGAAAACATATATTTCTTATGCCAGAACATAACCTGCTGTTTTTCTTCTAGAATCAAACTCCATTAATTCAAAATAATCCAGTATATATAAGCTTGTAACTCTAAAGTCCAGTTTAGTGCTTAGTAAACATCTCTAGAAATTGTTTGTTGTACATTGCTCAACTAAGTAGTTATCGATTTGTTACAATAGCACTGAATTACAACATTTGTGATATTGGTTCGATCACAATGCTCTGAAAAGTTTACTCTGAAATGGAGTAAATTAATGTAAGAACAACTTCTGGTATATATATATTGTATGAATTTATATATTGTCAGAATATATATATATGTTGCTAAAGGTTGTGATAATAAATTTTGGTAATAACACTGGAAGGTAATTGTTTAAAGAATTAAAAGACCAGATCTAATGAGTGTATATAACTGCAGGTGATAAGGGTATGAATGAGAAAACTTTATAATTGTAGTTAGTCCAGCAATTTTTCAACCTCTCAGAAGCCTTAAATGCCATGAAAGATATCAAATGTTACAACTCACGAAAAAAGTTGGCATCAGGAAAGAAACCTGACTTTCTTTCAGCAGGGGTAAATGGTTCTAAAAGTGCTCAAGTTATTGGATTTATTCATTTTTATCAAATATCCTAATATACACATTCTAGAAAAGATTAAACATTTTCACTGAACATTATCTTTTTAATAACACTATATTAAATTAATACACAAAACACTGACTATTTCATCAAATGGAGCATGAAATTTACTTGTATCTGTTTATGATGATTAAGAAGTTAGTTACCAACTGGGATTTGATCCCTTCTGTTTCAGTTCAGGAATAATGAGTAGCAGAGCACTGTTGTGAATCAAGAGAACTAGCTTTAGGCCATACACAAAGTAGATTTCTTAACCATCTAATCTATCACGAGCTTTAAAATAAATCCTCCATTTCATAAATGTGTACCAGACTTAACATTATTTCTTTTACAATTTTCTGTTAGAAGACATTCCCCCCCATCCCCATGTTCAGTGTTCAAAGACATACAGAAAAAAGCACTTCAACGGAGTGGTGATAACAAAGCTGAATGATTTTTAGTTTAGTCTCGAGGCAATACAAAATCTTTACTGTTGTCTATTTTCAAACATTATATTTATAAACTTAATAGTTTTACCCTTTTCTTTTTAATTCCTCTACTTCATCTACTGTCATTCCAAATATAAAGATGTTTTCTGCCCCCATCTCTTCTTTCATTTCAATATTTGCTCCATCTAATGTTCCACAAGTGAGAGCACCATTGAGCTGTAGAACATTAACAAAATAGGTAAGATTCTTATAAACAAAATGTACAACAGATAGAACTTAAAAGAAACTTTGAAAAATCATACAAGATTGATAAAAATACTTTTATTAAATTAAACCAGTAAAAGAAAAAACATAGGATATTAAGACAATTTTTATTTGTAGTCAACTATAGATTTTGTTATATTTTTCCTAGTGGACATATATTTCTTAGTTCCCATATTCATTGTTGTAGAATTCATGCTAAAAAACAACAATTAAATTGCCTAAGAATACTTTTTTTCAATTAAAGCTGTCAGCAAATTCAAATTAAGAAGAAGAACATCAATATCATTCTTAAAGGACTGACTTCTACACACAGTTCATTGAATAGTCAACAATCTTAAGACGATTTCTTCTACTTTTTTTCTTTTCATTTCCTATACAAGTGTAACAAGTTTATCATCTATTTTACATCATTAAGTTTAAAAACTGGAAATGCAGTGTTGTAGTCGAGACCTCAGTGTCTGAGACTGAGACCTTAGGAGTTGAGACCAAGACCGAGCTCAAGACCTTGTGTTAAATTACACAATGAAAAATAAAGTAAGAAGAGTAAAAGTCACACGCATCAAACAAACTTTATTAACATGTTAACCACAAATTCTTTACATGTTAACCCCACAATCTTTGTTTTAACGTCTCCTCCTATGACAAAAAAATAAAAAAATCAAAATGGTCAGCAAATAAAACAAAAGGAAAAGAAAAACTTTTATTGTTTTTTTAAGAGTTTATGGTGTCAGTTAATTCTTTATGATCTTTGAATACAAACAGGATCGCAGTAGATATACTAGACATGTTGAATATCAGGGATAATTGCTACTGTTTAATGTAAATACTTGCACCAGAAGAAGTTCATACAAACTTGTAGTAAGTCTATGTGTAATGCAATGTATAGTGGAAATTATTTTATAATAGTGTATGTTATAACTGGGTAGGTATATATACTGGTAAAACTTTTTAATTCAGCCGGTCTCGCTTTCAAGACCTGTAAGACGTTGAAACCCAAATGGTCTGAAACCTTCCAAAGGGTGGTCTTGAGACCTACAATACTGAATTCATGCTGGAAGTATGTACTTAAATCCATGCAGAATCTTTAAAAATTTGATGCAATCCTTTCACGGGCTGGAATATTTTAAACCATTAATTTTTTTATAAAATACCGTATATAGAGAGACTTGTAGCTGTAAATGGCAGACTCCAACTATATGGTAAAATTCTGCCAAAGTTTGTACTGAAGGGCTTGTAGCTGGATTTTTAAGATATTGATAGGGAGAATATCTGACAAAATGTCTACAACAATTTGTAGCAGATAAACTTTATTAGTCAGAAAAAAGTGGTAAATACTGTCTATCCAAAAGTACGTCGTTATGTTCCATAACCCTATTAAGCTAATTTTCCTTTCAAGAAGTCTTAACCAATCAAAACAACTAAATTGTTATAAATCACTATGATTCTACTCAATATCCACTGAAAATTCTCATAGTTGAAGTGTATTTTTGACAAGTTACTCTCTTCCCTGTACCGAGTGGACTTTTAAATACATAGTATTACAGTCCAAGTAAGTTTTTTTTCAGTTCTACACTGGGAACATGCAAGTTCATTGAACTATATACTGCACACTTTAACAACCTCCTGATAAAGTAGCTGTCTGAGTCTGTTTACAATAGATAATTTTAAATTAATAAAACATTTAAAAACTCATAATACTCACCATAAACTTCATGTTGCCAGTTCCTGAAGCTTCAGTTCCAGCTGTTGAAATCTGCTGACTGAGGTCAGCAGCTGGGATAATCTTCTCAGCCAATGTGACTCTGTAGTTTTCCAAGAAGACAACCTTCAACTTGTCTCCCACCACAGGATCATTGTTTACTATATTACCTACAGCACAGATCAGCCGGATGATCTGTTTAGCCATAAAGTATCCTGGAGCTGCCTAAGTGTGCAAGAAAACTTTTGTTAGCCATAAATTATCCTGGAGCAGCCTAGTGTGCAAGAAAACTTTTGTTAGCTATAAAGTATCCTGGAGCAGCCTAATGTGCAAGAAAACTTGCACATGTCTAAAAATAAGCTGTTCATTATTGAAACTTTGGTTAGGGATATGCAAAAAAAGTTTTAAATTAGAATAAAATGGAAGAGCAGGTGTAACATATATGCATGTAGATGTATGTAAATAGCAACCATGCTTCACAGATACCTGCCTATACAAATAATAGCCATGTTTAAAAAGATTGTTAGCACATAATAATTTTGGAAAATCCAACTTGTGAGATTAGGGAATATATATGCATACATTTCTAAAGTTCTGTCAGAACAGGGGACTTTTACGATATCCAGTGAAAGAATGACCATTTATAAATCAAAGATGCCCTTTACTAAAGGTTACTGTTTTGATAGCGAGTTTCTACAGCTGATTTCTTGGGTGTAAAAATTATATTTTAAAGTTCTCATACATAACTATATGTTTAAACAAATTTTTGCAGGATTTTTAAAGATCAATGTTCTTAAGTTTAGATACACAGTTAAAAATAAAACATTCTTTAAGTGATCATAAATATATATAAAGCTGGCAGAACACTTTAAATGCACAATTAGACTCATACAGTCTAACTGAAGTTGTAATTATCCAACATTGTTGTTTTTTTAAACTCACAACGAGGTAAGTAGTTACATTTTCGAATTCACAAACATAATCGACAAATGTATCACCGCAGTAATTACACACCTTTCCTCCAATCATGACTGTTCTTGGCACGAACGGAGCTGAAGGATTTTGTTTGATGCGATTGTACATGGTAATGATATGAAGAATGTTCAGTAACTGCCTCTTATACTCATGAATTCTTTTCACCTGAATGTCATACATGGATGATGGATTGATGCTGATACCGTATTCTTTTTGAATCAAAGATGCTAACTTCATCTTGTTTTCCTGGACACAAATAAATGCAAAATCTACAAACAGATTCAGATTCTTTTTTAGCAACTGCATTAATTAGTTGCGGACTGGAAGGAACAAAATAAAATTTGACTGAAATGTGGCTATTATGTGTCATAAAACTAGTTTCACGCACTCAAATTTTGAGTCTATACTTAATAGAATTTGTAACAACATTTGTTATCTGTAAACTGCCATTATTGCAAAATTATAAAAAAAAACATCCCACAAAATTCTTTTCTTTAAAGGATTTTTATTTTTTATGTAAAAATAGGACAACCTTTCAGTAAAATAAAAATACAGAGCAGCACATTGGAACATTTCAATTGCTGTGTTTAGCTGCATTCTTGAAGAACATCAATTTTAAATACAGTGATTCATTCAATCAATATAAGAAAATCAAATTATAACTAAAACTAACTTAAGATAACTTTCATTATCAACAAAAATTCTGCTTTTTAGAAGCTAACGTTCATTTATATCTCAAAAAAAAATAGTTAGAAACATGATAACCATAAAAATGAATGCAGAGCAAAAAAGAAAACAGTCTATTATAATCTACCTTGGTATTATGTAATTTTATTACATTAAGCAATATTGTTCTATGTAACAGTCATCACAGCAAGCCACAGATCAGTATTTGCTGTGTAGAATTGTTATTCTTCTTGTAGGTTTAATTTTTTTATGTTCAGAATTAATTTGGAATGGTATACTTCAGATATATGTGCAAAGCTATACAAGTACTATCTGAGGTAGTCATCTCTAACTTTGAACTAACAACTTAAAGAGAAGGCAGCTAATTATAGTGCCAAATCTAGGGCTACACTAATTAAGTAGTGAGATATCACCATCACTCTAATTAAGTAGTGATATATCACCATCACTCTCGTATCTTGGGCTACATAGTTGGGTAGTGAGATATCACCATCACTCTCGTATCTTGGGCTACATAGTTGGGTAGTGAGATATCACCATCACTCTCGTATCTTGGGCTACATAGTTGGGTAGTGAGATATCACCATCACTCTCACATCTTGGGCTACATAGTTGGGTAGAGAGATATCACCATCACTCTAATATCTTGGGCTACATAGTTGGGTAGAGAGATATCAACCCAACTATGTAGCCCAAGATACGAGAGTGATGGAAAGAGATATCACCATCACTCTCGTATCTTGGGCTACACAGTTGGATAGAGACATTTGGTCATCACTCTCATAATTGGGTAGTGAGATTTAGCCATCGCTCTAATATCTTGGGCTACATAATTGGGTAGTGAGATTTAGCCATCGCTCTAATATCTTGGGCTACACTAATTAAGTAGTGAGATATCACCATCACTCTCACATCTTGGGCTATTCACATTTGAGTAGAGACATTTGGCCATCACTCTCATAATGGTGTAGTGAGATTTAGCCATCAATCTAAAACACCAAAGTATGGAGCATTATTTTTGTAACAATGGGATGAAAACCATGCACAAAGTCCTCATTCTGCCTAGCTCCCAGAATCAATACAGCCCCGGTATGGCCAGGTGGTTAGGGTGCTTGACTCACTGCCCTCCCTCTAGTTTTTCACTGCTAAGTTAGGGACGGCTAGCACAGATAGCCCTCGTGTAGCTTTGCACGAAATTAAAACCAAAAAAACAAGAATTAATACAGTTAATATTTTAAACAAGAGTTTTAAGAAATGAAGGAAGAAACATTCCAGGAGTTTTATGGCTAAGTGTTTGTAGAAGCAGTTTTGCAATATAGAACCTAAACAACTTCGTGAAACCTGGTTCAAATAATTATTTTACATTTTTAAACAGTGAAGGAAGAATTAACAGTTGGAAGTGGGTACAATCACTCATTTGTACCTTACATCAAAAAAGTAACTTTGTCAAAAGAAAAGTTACCTGTTTCACAGTGTGGATGGTTCGTTTGAATCCCCGATCGTTTACAAAAGCAGCCAGTTTCTTAAGTTCCTCCAAATGTGTCAGCCAAGTTTCTCCAATGCGCTACAAAAATTTCAGTTATCAAAGCACAACTTCAGCAGTGATTACTTCTGAATTGTGAATAATACTCTAACATTCATGTTATGGCTTTTAATCTAAATTTAAATAAAGAAGATTCAAATATTGAAATCACTTCTAATATATCACTTAAATGATTATAGTATAAAGTTATCACTTTTACTTGTGATAGAGTAAAAATAATTATACATGCAATTACAAAAACCAGTTATGTATCTTATACAATTCAGATACATTAAAACAAGCGTATAAGATATTAAGGATTAGTTATACAACTGATGAAATCACTTACATCAGCAATAGCATCAGCAAGGCCAGGGTTACAAAGTGCCAGCCAACGACGAGGAGTTATTCCATTAGTTTTATTCTGGAACTTTTCTGGACTCATTTCATAGAAGTCTTTGAAACTAACGAAAACAGCAGTAGAGATTAATTCTATAAAATAGCCCTTCCTCTTGGCATATAAACACTGAGACCAACTATAAGATAAACTTAAATGATGCTTTATGTGCCCACAGCCAGAACCTGTGCTCAATGTTATTCTTTAAATTCTTTGCTATATATTTATTTGTGTCACTGAGCAACTAATATCTTTGTAATTTATATTATTTTACACAAACAGTCATTTTAATAAAAACTTTGCTGTTTTTTCATTCATCTGTACTATTGCATGCACTCATACTCCAGGTTTGCACACACTAATGGGAGAAAAATTGGGGACTATCCAGGACCAATTTGTCATTTTCAAGGATCTAATTTACTGATTTTAACAGAACATGAATTTCACCAAAATTAAATAATTAATGTGTTATTATATCTAATAAAAAATGCAATATTTTCAAAATGAGAACCAAAACTTGAGCGTTTTTGAATAGTTGACTATTCTTCTTCAGGATTTTGCTCTCATTGTATGGTTTGAATTTTGCACAAAGCCACAAGAGGCCTATCTGTGTTAGCTATCCCTAATTTAGCCATGAGAGACTAGAAGGAAGGCAGCTAGTCAACATCACCCATTGCCATATCTTGGGCTACTCTCTTACCAATGAACAGTGGGATTGACCATTACATTATAACACCTCCACAGTTGAAAGGGCAAGCACATTTGGTGTAACACAGATTTGAACCTGCGACCCACAGGTTGCAAGTTGAGCACCCTAACCACCAGGCCTTACTTTCTTTGTATTAGTGAATTTTCAACAATAACTGATATAGAACTTAGGCAAGAAACTTGAATGGTGTATCCTGAAACTTCCATGCTTTGTATTCTGTCTATAATTTCATGGTTTTAGATTCCACCAGACAAGTCTTGCGCTTGAAGAGTCATCCTAGTGTAATGTTGGTAATATTGAACTACTCTTTTGTTCTTCATTTAGCCTGATGGAAATTTCTGAAGCAAGTAGAAAGGTAGCTCCAATACAAGATTATATGTGATGAAAACCCATTTTTAAGAATTTTCATTAGAGTCTTGAGCTTCTTTTATATTAACAATACCAATAATAGTAACAGGGCATATGTTTGCTTGCAGACCAACGTCTACATGGTTCAAAACCTGTTACTGATCAGTATTGCCAAGTCAGTGTATTTCCTATTTTACGAGTCACATTTTCTAGAGATAATGACAACTGGGATGTGGGAGAGATGGTATTATACTTTCAAGAAATTTTGTAGAATTTTGTATTATTTTCTAGAGATAATGACAACTGGGATGTGGGAGAGATGGTATTATACTTTCAAGAAATTTTGTAGAACCTCCTAATAAAAACCAGTAACTTTCCAGATCTTCCAGTCCTGAAAATTTATTTAAAAATTCCATGACTTTTTAAGATGTTAACAACCTGACAAACCCTGTTTTTTATTGCTCGGTTATGTAGTTAAAAGCAACATAACAAACAAAGCACATATGTCTTCTGTGAAATAACTTTTACACTGCATTATTATTTTTATCTATCAGCTGAATGAATTGGGCTCAGTTAAAGACCTTAATTAATTTATAATTTATAAGTTATACCACCAAAAACAATGAAAATGCAATTTTTTTCCTCATATTATGAGTTTATATTTTGTATTTCCTTTTACATTTTGCATTGCATTAAACGTAATTTACATGTCTGCCTTCAAGATTTCAGAATGGATCCGAGCTACACCATTCACTGCATGAGAACCAACAATTGCCAGATGAGCCATGTTAATCCTCTTCTCCCCCTCTTCTTCCACCAGTGACATGCGACGTAACCGATCAATGTCACCAGGAAACTTTTTTCTTACTTCCTGCAAGATACAAAAACATCTTTAGAAAATGGATTACAAAAAACATATGTCAAGAAAATGGAATGTTTACAAAGGTCAAAAACATACTTTCTGCAAAGAAGAAAAAACACAGTGCATGGACATCCTGAAAATTCAACAGAGAATTACATGGTTAAGATGTGAAATTCCTACAAAGTACAACTAGATAAACATCTTATAAAGATGAATGGAGAAACAACAGATGAACATCCTACACAGGTGAATGGAGAAACAACAGATAACCATCCTACAAAATTAAATTGAAAAACAACAGATGAACATCCTACAAAGATGAATGGAGAAACAACAGATAACCATCCTACAAAATTAAATTGAAAAACAACAGATGAACATCCTACAAATGTGAATGGAGAAACAACAGATAAACATCCTACAAAGATGAATGGAGAAACAACAGATAAACATCCTACAAAATTAAATTGAAAAACAACAGATAAACATCCTACAAATTAAAAACAACAGATAAACATCCTACAAAATTAAAAAACAACAGATAAACATCCTACAAATAGTAACATAAAAAAAACATTGTTGATGAATTAAGACCCTGCAAAGATCATTAAAAAATATACAGCTGTCAGACAGATTTCCCATAAACAGCCAGACAACAAACATTGAAAAACACATGCTATAGGATGTGGACCATCTCAAAGGTAAACAGAAGAATCAATGTATATATATGTTTTGTAGGGATAAACAGAAAAATACACAAAGATTGATGATATCAGGCAAACAAAGTCACTAAACTATTCATACTTGTATTTTACACTCAAGATAAAAAAAGTTAACTGAACAGTTAGTCAACTAAATACCAACAAAGCAGAAAATAATATAATTTTATTATATCCTTATTTTAAAATGACATTAGTTCTAAAACCTCTAAAGTTATTAGGTAACATACCTTTAAAATCAAATCATGGTACAGATGCACATAATACAAAACACTAAAAGCAATAATAAATATTATGTTCTTAACTAAGAAAAAAATTAAAACTTATGATTATTAAACTCACATCCAAATGTCTAGCATTGACTTCATAAACGATCTGCAGGTGACGAGGTAAAATTCTCTCCAGCAGGTGGACAGGCCAGCGCTCCAAAGCTTCAGGTAACACTGTATGATTAGTGTAGGCACATGTTTTACAGCTAACCTCCCAAGCCTAAATAAGCAGATTATACATATTGTTGAAGATCATAATCATTAAAACAGATCCTTAAATTGATGATACGAGTAATGGATTGGGTTCTTAGTCATATGAGGCAAAGTTAGGGTTAGCTAAATCAATAATTAATGTTTGGTGGGGAACCTACTAATTAATTAGTCCAAAAATACAATAACAACAACTTTTACAGAAGGGAAATTCTGATTTTAATGATCACAATGGGTTTTATTCATCGCACAGGTCATCATCAGGTTACAGTTATAGTGAATAAAGTATTCTGCATTTTAGAAAAATTGAAAGGTTCATGATGGTGAGGGCAAAGTTTGCAGGTGGCATTAAAATTAGCTTCTTAGTTGCCAAAGTTATCTGTAATTGTGGTGTTGCCTTTTACCAGATCACATATTATTACAAAGAAGAAAATAAGGAAGATTTTATGATCTGTTTACCTTCTAGTGTGTTTTCGGGTGGTGTTTTATTTTCGAATGAGTGTTTTCATGTGATGTTTAAGCCTTAACTTCATTTACTCCATTTTTAAAAACAAAATGACACTTTCTTGTTATTTACAAAATTACTTATTCATGCTGTAATCAGGCCTAATGTCAAGTCAATGATTCATCTATTATTCAGGAAGATCTACACAATGGAATCAGTAAGTAGCTTCAGCCATATTAACATTAATTGTTCCATTTAACAATGACTAAACTACTGTTATAAAATAATGTCAATCATCTTTTTCAGTTCTTTGTTATGGAAGTCAAGCATCTGTCAGGAGCTTCAAACTGCAAATGGTTGGTCATCTTCTTAATATGAACATCTAGTAGAGATGGCTTTTCATTTTTACAGTTGATGGTACTTCACTTCTATACAGAGTATGGCTAATAAGGTCCAAGTATCCTTGTAGGCTCCATTCCCTGAAAGAGCCATTTCCAAGCTAACTGGACTCATCTGGCAGGATGTGACAAATCTCCCAAAAATATCCCATGCAAGTTTGATGGGATGGAAATGGGCTGTATCAGTGATAAGGATTAAGTCAGTGCCAACTGTAACAACATGTGGCAGCACAAATGGTTTTAGAATGTGATCCCTGTAGAATTAAGTATGTACCAACATGTGACGGCACAAGTGGTCTTAAAATGTGATCTCTATAATGTTAATATTCTGCAAGATGTAGAGGTCAGTACATCCACCAATACTTATTGCTGACTACACTATGCCTCCATCATTGCCACGTGAATCACATTACCAAATGAAAATGGGGTTGAATCTAGTTCCAGGTTCTCTTTATATGAATTTGTTATCTGACTGCAAAGTAAAGTATACTCACCACCTGCACCTCATTGTACATCTTTCATATAGGTCAACTTTGAGAAATCTGTTTCTAACTATCTGTATGCTGACATGAAATCCAATTGCATCTGCAAACATCTTAGTGAGCTATAATTGACAAACAGTATCCATCAGCTTGCATTGTGAATGACAATCTGCCTTGTCCGGACATCCATGAAACTCTACCACTGGTTTGAAAGAAGTTCCAAATTCTGGAATATATTCAATGAGGAAACCCAACTTCAGCTTTTCTTGGGCAACTGAAAATATATTCTATACCAAGACATTTCACTTCTTTGGCAAAGTTTCCTCAGTTGGTAAAAGAAGCTGGATTTCTCAGAAGTTCCTCATTATGCTGTCATCACTTCTGAACAGCTTATGTGGTTAGCATGCTTCCAGTTGTCCAAAGGCTCTTGACATGAGAGAAACATAGACATATTTTCTTTCAAATTTAGCCATGTTTCACAAAAAAATTGAAGCCCTTTAAAACTCTCTGACTCATTTTAAAGTAAAAAATTAGACAAGATTGTGTGAGACCATTATATATAGTATAGGCTTGAAATGGAGAAAATATCTGATTGGATATTAGTTTTCCTATGAAACAGATCATCAGATAACCCTTTCATCAAAACATTATCTTACAATAGTGTTGCGTCAGCGAGGTCACGTGACTAGTATCACGCCAC